GTCGTACATGACTCTGTGGATTTATTTTCCTGTAGTTCAGTATCTGCTTATTTTGTCATGACACGTGAACTTCTAATCGTATTGATTGAACTATTTTATCAAATGTAATTTATGTTGTGTTTTTAATATCTTGAAAAAAAATTTGACATTTCACCAATTTCAAAATGTATATGTTATTTAATACTATATTAACATTAAACCATTAAAATTTATTGAATAATCAGATTTTTTTGAGTAAAATATTATTTAAAAAAATTCTCAAAATTTCAAAGTAAACGCGTTTTCCATTTTCATGTTTTCGGAAACAATTTTTCAGAATGGAAAACAGAACACATTTTCAGAAATTTCAAAACAGACACTCAAAACATAAAATATAAAACGAATTCAAAACTCAAAACACAAAACTGAAACACAAAGAGAACACCACCTAAAGGTTTAAAAATTTGGGATCGTGAGTAGTACAAATAAAAGGTTTGGATGTAATTTGCAAAAAAAATAAAAAAAATTGAAACAAACCTGCAATTATCATTTTTTTAAATTTTAACCATTTTTACTGTTTTCAACACCTAAACAAACGAAATTGGACAGTAAAATGACCCTTCTGGCCCAACTCTGGACACTTTAAGATTCTGTTTCAAACCTGGCCTCATTTCCGTTTAAAAGATAGATAAATATACACATCCCATTGCATTGATTGGAACACATCAAAGTTCATAAGGTGGATTTTCTGCCAATTTCAAAAGGTGAGGGGTATTTGGTAATAGATACATGCATTGGGGGTACTTTGCCAATAAGCCTAAAATTATTCACAACCAATGTTTAAGGGTTAAAAATTGTACTGGATGTTGTAATGTTGATTATTTCACCATTTGAGAGTGCAATTCGTCTTTATCATGAAAATGATTTAATGGTGATACTAGTACATTTAGAGTACGAATGAACCACGTATTGAATTTAATTCTCTAGAATGCTTGCACAGAGTATTAAATCCCATTTGATCACAGGATATTTCATATAAATTCGTTGAAATGATTGTGAATATCTTTTCATGAATTTAATGGTTTTTTGATTTATCAATAAGTAAAATTAATTTAATTGATCAAATATCTTGGTGGTAGGGAGCTTGAGATTGAATGAAGCAGAGAACAAGCATTTGCATCGAGAATCGTCATTCTGAAAAATTGGTCGAGTGACTATTTAAGTATTTTTGTTGAATGATATAATTTGATCTCCATGTATAGCAACGACTAAATTTCGACATGTGAGATTGTTTCATAGGATTGCTAAAGAACATATAATTTAAGTTAGTTATAATAACTATAGGGGCGAATGGTTATTTATTGCTCATATCTAACTATCGAATCTCGGATGTGATGAAATATATACTCGGTAGGTCAGAGTGTTTTAGCCTTTTGCATTTAGTTTATGTGATTTCATATATTTCGAGAATGTAGTCTTGTCTTTAGTGGAAAAATAAGGATTAATAGTTGAATTAGGTGGTCTAGGATCGATTACAGAAAATCTAATTATTGGAGCATGGAAAATATGTCGGAACAAGTTCTTGTGATAGCTCTATAAAGTTTTAGACTCAATTGCAATTATTATGAAAGTTTTGAACTTATTTATAATTAAATGTCAGGTACTACAATGCAATTAAACAAGATACGATATATTTGGACTTAGATTTAACATCAATTCCCCTTGTATATAGGGGAATGTGGCCAGAATTGTTGCATTTGTTTGGTCTTTTTTTTTTTTTTTTTCCTTTAGAAAATTGCCAAGTGTTATTGTAGAAATTGTGGCAACACTTTTTCTGTACGCATAGCTGCTCTCTAGATTGAAATGCTTTTGTCTATATATAGAATAGGGTGCCATTTTTCTTAAGTGAAAAACTTATGTGCGTTTATTAATTCCAAAATGAGAAAATTTGGTTTCTTATGCTCGATATGTTCGGTCCAAAATTGTAATTATTTTAATTGAAAAGGTGTCCACACGTCAGTGTATTCTATATTTTGGAAAATACGAATGGAAGACTTTGAGGTTGAGAGCATCAAGTTCTTGAACTAAAAGTTGGAAGTTCATAAATTAAAAGCCAGGGGTTCGTGAATCAGATTCAATTGAGTAATAGAATATCGATTTAGGTAAATTCTAAATATATGTTTCTTTATAATGAGATGTAAATGAAAGTCTAACAAAGATCCCGGTAGATTGGATTCCTTATTCATAATTTTTTAATTCTTGTATTTTTGGAATTTATTGTATATTAATTGAAGAATTAAAGATCGGACTCGACGGAGATCAAAAACGAATAGCAAAACAAAATTTTGGCGGACACCTGCGTCACATTCGTGCAGATCACGGTAGATCTTCAAGGCTAGATCAAGACCAATTTATGCAGTGTGCGCCACATCCCTTAGGCAAATCTACCGATTTGTATGACTTGGGTTACGCAGATTTGGCCTAGATCCGTGTGCCACATCGGTGCACGAGTATGGTGGAAAATTTCGGTGGATTGGCAACAATTTTATTATTATTATTATTTTTTTTTTTTGTAAAAGAGTATCAAGAAAGAAGAAGATGGTTGTTTTGTGGTTATATGGATTGCTGTTGTTTACATCCTTGGATGTTTTGGGCTGGAGTTTTAAGCTGAATATTAGGCTTGGGCCTAATTAGTTTTAAATTTAATTCTTGAGTCTTTTTTTTTTTTTTTGGTAAAAGAGTATCAAGAAAGAAGAAGATGGTTGTTTTGTGGTTATATGGATTGCTGTTGTTTACATCCTTAGATGTTTTGGGCTGGGGTTTTAAGCTGAATATTAGGCTTGGGCCTAATTAGTTTTAAATTTAATTCTTGAGTCTTTTGTTTTTTATACTTAAAAAATTGTTAATTTATTGTTCGTATGCGTTATGAAATATTTTCGTTATGTGAATCATGACATATAGATTTAATTTTGACATATCTCGTGTAACTAAGAATGGAATGCGTTATTGAACTTCGATTTTCCCGCAACTAATTTAATTTTTATTAATTTTTCTTAAAATGAAAAGATATTAATTAACTTGTATGTTAATTGATTAATCTGAACAATAGATAATTATGTAAAATTAGAAATTATTTTAAAATATTGATAGAGAGATGGTGATTAATTAAATAAAACCTTGTGGTCTTCTTTTAGTAATGCAACAGACTCCTTATGAGAGGATTCCGCAATTCTAGTTAATTGATTAGATTTCTTTTTTGGTAAGATTTGTCAAAATAGCATAATATTCTATAGATAGTGAAATTATTTACAAATATTTAGAGAAAGATTATACACTAAAGTTGAGGTCATTTGCGAACCTTATATAGAGGCTCTTGTTTATGAATTTAGTGACAAAATAAAATGATAATAGGATTATCTAAGCATTTGTTGTTAGATATGATTTGTTCAATGGGAGGGTCCTAGCTTGATCAACGGACACAATGACCTTTCCTATAGAGACATGTTGTATCACAATGATCAACTAATCATTGTATTGTTGTAGTTATATTGATCTACATGTAACTTCATACATCATGTGCCAAATTGTCATTTTTAATAAGAAATATTAATGTTATTTTACAACAAAATATCACTCGGTCTAGTTTCTATTTTTCTAGAAACATCAAGGAAGATTATGTGGATTGGAGACATAACTTGATATCTGTGCTTAGTGCAAAGAAACATGATTTTGCACTTGAAGATGAATGTGTCCTGAGGAAGCTACTGAGACCATAGTCAAGTCCAAAAAGTTTGCATATGATAAGTGGGTGACTGTAGACAAAATGGTTTACCGTTTGGTATCCATTTCAGATGTATTGCAGCAAAAGCTTGAAATTATGAATACCTCTTATGACATAAAGCAAAGTCTTCAAGACATGTTTGGATAATAAATTAGGAGGGCTCGAATTGAAATCATTCATATTTTTCAAAACATCTGCATGAAACTTGGAATGCATGTGAATGATCATATGTTGACTATGATTATATGTTGACTATGATTGCACAGTTCAACATGTAGTAGAATCTAGGTTTAACTATTGACTTAGTGACTCATTGATATGATATTAAAATTTTTAGTTGATATGTTCTCACAATTTAATGTAGACTACTTGTATAAATTGAAATGCTATTATTGATGAATAAGTTGGAAAATATGGAGAAGTATTCTCAAAGCTAAGAGTGGTGATGCTCATGCAATTATATATTGATAGCTCCTCTAGTTCCAAGTCGAAAGACAGATTTGAAAAGAAGTGGAAGAGAGCTAGCAGGAAGTGAGTGAGCCAAAAAGAACTAAAGCAGATAAAAAGTCCATTTAAATCAGACATTTTCTCAATTTCTTAAAATACGATCTAGTAACAGAAGCAGGGGGAGAAAAGAAGTAGGTGCTCCTTGAATTTGTGTCTGATATTGGAGGCAAGATTGTGGATCGATCCATTTCATTATTCATCTTGTTGAGTTGCTCCCTCCCCTAACGTTTGATATCACTGTAGCTTCAAAAGATAGAAGAAAATCGATATAAAAAGTCAATAAATAGTATAGAAGCTACAATGTGATGTGTATGA